GCTGATGTTATCCCCTGCTTCCATACCAAATGCATCTTCTTGAAGGCATTTAAACTTTTTAAGACAGTTTACTATTGGTAATAAGTCATATTTTTGAATGTTTATAAAATCTCTTTCAAGTATATCCACCAACTTCAGGAACTTGTTTGCATAGTTTTCGTCAGGTCCTACGCCTAGGTATGCTCGAAACATTATGTAATTTGATTGTAACTATTTCTCAAACAAACGCCATACACTAACCAGAAGTAATGCAAGTTTACTTACTATTCCCATTAGAATATGGAGCTCAGGAACAGAACCTAACTCAAGAAGAGTTTCAGGATCTTCCTCTTTGTATAAAAGTAAAATTGTTGTAGTGCTTATCTAAAGACCTAAGCTTTCTCTTGATACCAGACTCAAGAGTGAAGGATCCCTCACAATATAAACAACTGTATTTCCCAGCATGTCTACTAATTCCGAAAACTGAGTTTGCAAATTTAAGATCAAATGCAACGTAAAACTTTAGATCTTTTAAATTCAGAGGCTTAATTAGCCTCAATATCCGAAGATATTGTTGGCTTAGCATAGGAACAGATACAAATGGTCATTAAGACTAATCCAAAGTAGCGTCCGTTACAAACCAAATTTTTGCGTACCGAAGTATTACTCAAGCGCTGAGTTGGCGGTGGCAGGATTTGAACTCGTATTGTTCTACAGTCCGAATTTTAACTTTTTGTTTGACACTCTTACCGACTGAGCTATTCCGCCACATTACAGCCTAATATACTAGCATGAGGCTACCCGTTATGAATATTTAGGTCCAAGCTGTTCTGCTGCTACAATGACATTGTTGACAGCTTTGCTCTCTGTACAGATATGAACTACTCCTTGCACTAAATATTTTTGTTTGAAAAAAATGAACAAAGTTTTAAATTAATTAAATATTTTATTAAGTACAATAAATTTTGTTGTGTGAAGTATTATAAAAATTTCATCAACAATGTCATTGATATTTAATGATGTTCTAAGATGCAATCTATCAGTCTTAATCAACGGAAAAAATCTTGGTCATTATGTTTTATTATTTTGCTGGAGTAATCTTTTGATTTTTAAATGACTTTTTACCGAACTGTGTAAGACAAACAGCACACGTTTTATGTAAATATTCCGCCAATTTATAAACAATTTTAAAATGTAGCGAATTTTCAACCGAGTTTTTAACTAATTTATTAATTTTTAACTAATTTATTAGTTTTTAACTAATTTAAGATTTTTATGGCTAAAAATAAATATTTTTGAGTAAATTTTTTTCGACTTTGTCCAATCACTCAAAAGTTTTCAAAGGCATAAATAATGCCTACTAATGTAGGCCAAACTATTGAAAAACAAAAATCAGACGTGGGGAACAACTTAACCTGGTGGTCACACTGGTTCACATTGAATTAAATATTAACTATAAACAAATGTTAAATATTTGACATCTTGTTTTGTTTCATATGATTATTTGCAAAAGTTTTGTGTATTTAAAAAAGTTCTAATTTTTTTTTTTGTAAACCAATAAATTAAGTAGAATAAACTAGTAGTTTTTAGTAACAAAAGTTAAAAGTTGGAAATTTTACTTTTATGCCAATGGCGAAGAAATCTTTTTGACATGCTATAATAAGTATAATAAAATTATGATAAGTAATTACTTATTGACTGATATTGGTCAAAGTTTTTTAGAACATGTTGACATGCTAAATTTTTTATCTATTTTATCATTTGCCATAACGCACAGTGGGCCAGAATTCACTTTTACTGGACAAAACTAATAACTCACTAGATAAAAAAGATTTAAGAACTATTTTTGCACTGTTTACTAATTTAAAGATTGCGGTTTTAATGGAGACATTATTTTAAATTTTGGTTGCTATGGATACCTAAATTGCTTAACAACCTTATACTTTATTACCTTAGCAAATATAAAGTAGAAAAAGTAATAAACTTATTGGAATTCCCCCATAATTACCACATTGAGAACTTTGATACTACAAATGGAGTGGAAAGTGTCACTATCAACCAAATAAAAAAATGTCTGACGCTTCATTTTGCATTTTTCATTTTTGTTTTTAGCTTATGTAACTTTTCTTCAAGCATCAATGTTGTAACAAGACTAATACTGATGTATATAATCTAGATATAACATTAAAGTTATAGGCAGTCTGATTAAAAGTTATTTCATGCATCTAAAAAATTCAACGCATTCCTTATTACAAAATTTAAGTATTTTTATGCAGTTTCAAGGCTCTATTTTATATTTCATGAAACTACTGCATAATCCATATAAAAAGAAACCCTGAGGTTTAACCTTCTGTGAATATAAAATATTAGGATTAGCTAACTTCAGGTTTTCTTGAATAATTTTTATGAATAAATTTCAATACTTTTCATGTTTTAATTATATAAAAGTATAAATTTTATTTATAAAGTTTTACAAATAGGTATTTTAAGATGTTAATTTAATGAAACAAGTTTTAACACAAATCTAGTCTTGCTGAGACCAACACTAACCTAGTCTTGCTGAGACCCAATTATTACATAGCCATTTAGAATAAAATATGTATAATGTTTTCGCCATATAAAATCAAATATAACATTATTTACCCGCTAGGAGATGAGCTAGCAAATAGCTAGTCGCCACTTGTGGGTAAAAGACGCATTAAAAACGTTTAAAATATTTTAAAGTTTTACGTGATTTCGACGTTTTAAAAACGTCTTGCGTCAACTTGCTATATTTTTTTTACCGAGTAGCTTGTAAAAATCCTTAATAGAAACCAGGTGGACATCCGCGGAATTTAAAACAAATTTATATTGATAATTTCAAGTTTAAAACTACTGGGCCGCTTTGGACCGCAAAAGTATTCGACTATATAAAGTTTTTGATTGGAGTCTTTTTTGATTGGAGTCTTTGACTTTTCCCTGCAAAAATGAGATAATAAAAATGTTTTTTTCTCGTCAACTCTACTTTTTATATAAATAAAATCTTTTTGCATACATAAATATAAATAAAGAATATTTTTTTTCAATGACGGATACAGCATTTTTTTGGTGTTTGAGCTAACTTTCAGACATGGAGCAAACTCCAAATATTTTTATGTTTATACTTATGCCAAATAATAATCCTTTGAAAAAAATTGCGATGATTTTAGGTAGGGATAAAATAAGCTTCAAAATTTTACTCCTCTACCACTCTAGCCTCCCAGCCTAGGCAACAATTTGATAAAATATGTTTTGTACTATTCACAACTAGACTTATACTTATCAAAAAATTTTAAGTTTCATTGTATTTCTATCAGCATTCAAAAATTATGACCATATAAAGTTTCATCGCCCCTCAATTTGAGAAGGTTACAAATTTTGTATGATCGTAGTTTTTGAACGCTAATAGATATTACTATGAAAATTAAAATTTGTTGATGAATATAAGACTAGTTGAGAATAGTACGAAAAATACTTTATAAACTTGTTGCCCTCGCGTTTAGGATAAGGTGGGGGGGGAGGGGGTTGAAATTTCAGGGCTTATTTGTTTCCAGCTTACGAATCCTTATTTGCTCCCACCCTCCTTCATAAAATGTTCCATAACCTTTTACAATAACATTAAAAGTGCTGTTTAAAAAAGATTTTTAAAATGATATTAACTGTTGTTTACGCGTCTACTTTGTTTTTTTAAAGCAAAGTCTACGATTGGATATCATTTATAATAAAAAGTTTAGTATGAGATGCAAACCATGTTATTCAATCTCGCAAAACTTCTGGTCAATATTTAGTTATGCTCGTAATTGGTAGCCGAGGTTTTCTTAAGTTTTTTCATAGCTTTGTTAATACTGCTTTAAGGGTTGATGCCAATTCTTCGCCTCAAAAACAATCTCTCGCTTAAAAGGATTACCAAAGACTAGAAACTTTTGTTGCGGTATCAGAAGATTTGCCGGATTCGCTCCAACATTAAAAAAATCTGTTTAATGCAACCCAGTAAACACAGGACGTTTTTAAAACGTTTTAATTTCGTTCAATTTACGGTCGGACGTTAAAAGAACCAATGCAGTCGTTTTTAAAACGTTTTATTGCAAACGTTTTTTTTAATGTTAATTTAAACGTTTTTTTAGCGTTTTTTTAGCGTTTTTTAAACGTTTTTTTTTTTAATAACTTACGAAATTTCTCAGTTAGCTTATGAACGTTTTTAAAACGTTTTTTTCACGTGATAAAAAAACTTTTTTTAAACGTACAGCACGGCAATATCTAAAATAGTATGTTTAAGCAAATAATGGCGTGACCTTTGATTAGGCGACTTGATTTATTTAAGTAAAAATTATATAAATTAGTATATATATTTAAATCGACCAAGTGTTTGTATTATTTTCTTATAGAATTAAATTTGAAAGTATATTGGAGTATTTTTAGTTTAAAGTTGTATGCCTTCGTTGAAACTAGGTTGTGTTTGTATTTCTACTTTAATCAAGTAGATATGATTAAGAAAATTTTAATGGTGTGGTTAACTAGATTATTTTACTCTATTAAATAACTTAATTGTTGAGTAAACTTAAATGCTTAAAAAAACTAGATTAAGTTTTTAATTCTATTTAATTATCAACTGCTTTTAACGCAAAAAAATTTATTTGGATTTGAGAAAAGGGAACAACATTCTCAGAGTTTTTCTTCTTTAACTCTAAAATTTAAAAATGATAATATCAGTGGTTTTTATAAAGGAATTACTATAGTTAAAAAGGCTAAAAGGAAAAAATATAATGATTTGTTTCAAGAAAGGGAGTGACTTCAAAATATCATTTTAAAATTTTTATTTTATAATGATATTCTGGTGTTATTACCAAATATTTAGCAGTATGAAACCTATAATATTATATACCATACTATATACCCTATTTTACTTATAAAGTTAATAATCTGTAAAGTAATTTGTAAAAATTTTTTAATTGTAAAATTGCTACATGAGAAGACAAGTTGTTTAATGAAATTCAAAAATTACCTATGCTTGTGTTTTGTAGGTCAAAAAATAATAAATAAAGATGATATTGATTGTGATGACCAATAGACTCATTTTAAGACACATCAATCTTCATCATCTTTAAATAAAAAGGATAAACATGATGGATTTCCATTATCTCAAGCAAGTAAGTCTTTAGTTAAAAATAATATTGTAATGTTTTGTTGTAAAATGCTAACATGACTGTCAATATTAAAAAAACATCATTGAAACATTAAGGTTCCAATTTTAACTTTAAAAAATCACCTTCATGAAATCCATTATTTCAATATTATCAAAACTATAAATCTATGGAACAATCTTTTTTGTCTAACCCGAAATCTGAGAAAAACGCTAATATATATAATAGGTATTTTACTGTCTATTAGTTTTTCTCTGATTTAGGGTTAGACCAGTAAAGTTGTTAAATTGTTAAATTTATGTATTTTAAATTTATTTATTTACGTAGTTTAGTTAAGACTATGTAAAATTTAATTAGTGTAAATTTGTTTAGACTTTCAATATTGTGTGTTGCTTCTTTTAAATGAGATAAAAACCCAAGGATGCAAAAAACATAATATAAAATAGTGTGAAAAAGAAGTAGTTACTGAAACGAACAGCATAATAGAATTTGATAAGTTTGACTCAGCACTTGACAATGTTTCATCTAGTAACTCTGTAGTATCTCTGCAGTTGTAAATTGGTAAATACTGATTTGACAGATTTTTCTTTTTTTTTTAAATTTTCTTTACAATATATAATTTTGAATTGTCAGATTTCCATTATTTCTTTCTATTAGAAACAAAGAGTTCAAAATATTGGTGGTAAGAACTGTCAAAAACTTGTGATAGCTATGATGAAGACGTAGTAAATTAAAAGTGCATTCCTATAAATACTCTGTTTAATTTTATAATGATATTACTCCCATCTTACAATCCATAATACAAATCCCATGCATAGCTCTACGTTAGCCGTTTTACCATAATGGGATGACTGAATAACCGTGAATTTCATACAAATTTCATGCAAACTAGCACATGTGCGAAGCAGTTACAAAAACTAGCACAATGCCAAATAGCATAAGTGCAAATGGGCATAACTGCACAAAAAAAAAATCCAAACATTGGCATAAGTGCAAACTGCAATAAGTGCAAACTGGCATATTTGTAAATTGGCATAAGTGCGCTAAATAGATTTGCAACACGGCCTTCTATAATAACACAAAATAGCGCAAAATGCCGTAAAAACTGAAGGCCGATTAAACTTTCACTTACAAAAATATTGATGTTTTTATATTTGGTAGGGCGTAATGGCAGTCTGTGTTTTCTAATAAAAAATCTCTAATAAAGACGGAAATATAAAAAGAAAACCAAAAAAATGTTAAAAGAATTATATTTCAAATTTCATTAAGAGTAGTAATGTAATATTAAATAGTATCAATAATAGTAATAATAATATCAGTAATAGTATCAATAACAAAAAGAAATATAATAATATATATTAGAAAGATAATTATATAAATAGCATAAATTACAAAACTAATTTTCACATAAATTATGACAGCTTTAGTACTTTCGTTTTAGATTCTTTGCTACTGCTGGGAGTGGTAATTATTGCATAATTCTTTAGCAAAATATTAGAATATACTCTGCATTGTTTTTTTGTGATTTTAAATTTATATTTAGCTGCTATGAACTGAAACTGAGTAACACAAAATGTTCTGCATAAAGGGCCACCCTGCATAAAGGGCCACTAGCACTTTGAAAAAACAAAAAGCAAAATATTGACCATTGGACTAGAGTATCTGAAGGAATTTCAAGTCCGCTTCTGTTTACGCTATTCAGACAACTTCCATATATAATAATAATTGTTAGTGTCATCATTAATCTTTATTTCGCTTTTTTGCACATAGCCAGCTATGTAAACTATAGCCACTAATGTAGATTTATTAATTGAGCTTTCAAGATCATGTATATTATCCAGCAGTTCTTTTTCATCAGTAGAAATATCTCTAAAACATGTGTAACAAGTATGACCATCAATACCATCAACAGGAATGTCAAGTTGTAGTATCAATTTAGTATGTTGAATAATAATTTTTACAGACTTAGCGTTTATAAAGTAAGTACCTTCAGATCCCTGTCGAAGTTTAGAAAAACTTTTTTCAAGTGGATCTGTTGTAAACCAACCTAATAAAACATACTTCGCTCCATTACTCAACAAAGTTTCTACAAGATCAATTAGACCATAACAAGTATGCGCTATTGCATTGCTAGTATCTAGGGTAAGCTGTTTTACACGCTTACCTGTAGGTTCCATGTAACTAGACAGTTCAGCAATACTTCGTAACAGTTGTAACTGTTACGAAGTATTGCTGATCACCAACATAGTGGATTTCTCCACATAATTCATTTTTAAACCGAATGCCAGCGCCAGGTGCTTTGAGATTTACAACATTCCAAAAAGAAATAATTTTTTCAATAAATACAGCAGTACCTTCAAATGCTTTATTTTCAATCTCTAGATGTGTTCTTAATGCAGCTACTGTTTCTTCGCAAAAAACAGACAAACAAAACTTTACAGATTGTCTCTCTATTGGTTTTGGATAAACTGATTTAGCTGTAAGTTTAGAGAGTTTAAAAAAAGATATTGCACTCAGTTTTATATAAAGTTTCTAAATCACTCCATTTAGCCAAAGCTAGTTCTCCATTGTTCAAAAATTGAAGTTGGCCAGTCTTTTCTGTTAACCAATTGTTTCGTATAGATTTCAAGAGATGCACATAATCATACAATAAATATATACCTGAATTTGTTAACCATGGTTTATTATCAACTGTTTCAAACATTTCAAAAAACCTTTGATTTACACGGTTACCATCAGTAATTATTGCCAGTGTTTTACTATTTTCAATATTATTTATTGTATCAACAATTTGTTGACATTGAGTAAATTGAATTTCAGAAGAAAGATTTGCAACAGGTTGAGCTCTACATATAAATTCTGGACCACCAAAAAGACATTTAATCATAAATGATAAAATTGTTTTAGCTAACCTTTCAGGGTAGTTTACTGCTTGACCAAACAAAGCACCTCTTTGGTAAAGTAATGAAGCTTTAACATAAACCTCATCAATTAGTAGTATGGAAGTTTTTTTCAATGGATCTAAATTCATAAAAATACTATTTACAAAATTTAGGTCCTCCATCGAGCTTATTTTTGAAGTCAATCGTGTTAAAGTCCGTATACTCGGCAACTTGCAGTCAATACATAAACGATCATATAAACTTCGTTGCATAGCAAAATACTCATATGCTCTACATATAAATTCTGGAGTATATAAACTTCACTAACATTAACTTTTCTCATAGCATTAAGGTGCTCAAATAAAATATTTGACTGATGCAAACTTTCTTAAATTTTTTAAAAATCTAACTGCTTCAAATAAAGCTGATTTTGTTTTTATTAACTTTAATTTGTTTACAGTTAAAGATAAAATATTACAAGTTGTGCCATTATAGTAAGCTACAAATAAATAATCATCGAAAATTACTAAAATAAATAATGGAACACCAAGTTTGGACATTTTTGATTGTATATGTAAACTTTTTTTATTAAGCTGGAAAACAATAACATCGTTATTATCACTTAACAAAGTTTGAATATCGTCAAATATAAGTTCATCCTTTTTTAGAAATCACTTAACTCATCTGGTAGATTGTTTTGAAAACCGCTTGAAGTTACAGTTTTTATAACTTTACTTGCTGGTGTGGTAAACAACTAGTTGGTATATTTTTAAAAACAGATGGTGGATTTAAAGGCCGTTGCTTCCCATACTTGCTTTTAAAAGGTGCATCATCTGGCCAATGGAGTCGACATACTGCTGTATAGTCTGAAACAGTAAAACCAGTTCTTGGGATAGCATCACTCTATCTTTTTCTCTTCTCTGGATTCTTCGGGAATTTGTAAATTGATATTTTTGTTGTAGTTGAGTAATAGTTCGACTTGCAAAGAGGTACTCAGCATTTTAAAGACATTTCAATTATTAAAATATCTATAATAACTATTAAAATATCTGTAATAAGGCCAATATTAACGTCTTGAAGCTAACAACGTCTTGAAGTTGCGCTATCTAATTTATAAACCAATCAAATTTAAAAAATTTATTGAAAATGCGCGAACGCAAAACTTTCGTCAAACGTTAAAAGAATGAAATGTAAACACAGTATTAGATATCGGCCTTCAGTTAAACAACTTAGTTGCGCGATGTCAAGGCCTGTTATTATAGAAGGCCGTGATTTGCAAACATTTGCATAAGTGTGAATTGCCATAAGTGGAAACTGGTATAAGTGTGAAGCAGTTGCAAAACCTCGCAAAAGTGCAAACAACATAAATGCGAACTGGCATAAGTGTGCTAAATAAATTTGCAAAATTTAGCATAATTCCAAACTGGCATAACTGCAAACTAGCATAAGGGCAAAATGCCAATCAGCACTTAGGCCAATGTTTGCAAATTTATTACACGCACTTATGTCAGTTCGCACTTCTGTCAGTTTTTCTAACTGTTTTGTACTTAATCAAACTTTGCACTTATGCCTATTTGTAATGTTTGCTAACCTGTTTGACGCACAAATGCCAATTTACACTTTTTCCAGTGTGCAAGTTTAAAGCTATAGGTTATCCTATAGCTTTAAACTTTAGTCCAGATAATTCTTTTATCCCAGATAATATTCATATATATGACTACACTAATGGTTAGTGTACACTTATGACCTGGACTACATTAATGGTTAGTGTGCTATTTTTTAAATAATAAATTAGATTTAATTAATAGATAAACTGTATCGTTAAATTAAAATCTAAATGTTTAATTACATTTAGATTTTATGAAAAAAAAGGGAAAAATTTTAAATACAGTAGTTAATTATAATTTCATAAACTATAAGATATAATATTATTAAAATAGATTATTTTTAGTTTTATGACAAATTCACTCATGGCCAAATCTAATATGGCAGCTGGAAAAGGCAAAGAATCTTTTTAGTCTAACCAAGCTATACAACTTAATAAAAGGTACATTTATATATATATATATATATATATATATATATATATATATATATATATATATATATATATATATATATATATATATATATATATATATATATATATATATATATATATATATATATATATATATATATATATATATATAAATATATATATATATGTATATATATATATATATATATGTATATATATATATGTATATATATATATATATATATATATATATATATATATATATATATATATATATATATATATATATATATATATATATATATATATATATATATATATATATAATATGGCTAGTGATTGCTGAAGAGCAATAATTAATTATAAAACAAGCAGATTTTTTTTTGTGTTTTTTTTTTTGAGTCCAAGGTTGATATGATTTAGAAAAAAAAAATCAAAAACATTAGGACCAGTCAAGAATTTAGAATCCAAAGATGAACCTCAAGATATCATCAAAATCAAAAAATATTTTTTTTTTACTTTGTTCTTATGAATAATAGACATCGATTCGTGTCTCAGGAAAATTTATTTTTTAACTTTTTTTTGTTATGAAAACCACTATACCCTAATATATATATATATATATATATATATATATATATATATATATATATATATATATATATATATATATATATATATATATATATATATATATATATATATATATATATATATATATATATATATATATATATATATATATATTAGGGTGGCCCTTATAACAACTTTTTTGATAAAAACGTGCTCCTACACCCTAAATGTGTTCTATCTAATACAAAAATACTAGGTTTAAAATTTTTTTGAAAAAAAAATATTTTAAGGGAACCCTCAAGACCCTCAAATATTCAATGGGTCCCTAATATTTTCAAAAAAAAAGTTTTTCAAAAATATGTCAACGTAGTACTCAAATAAAGTGAAATTATATAAAAATTTGAAAAATACATTCATTTTGAAAAAATTTCAACTTATTTATTAAAATGATAATAAAAAGACATAAATTTTTTTTTTCATTTTTTGTTAGAAAATGTAATTTTTTAAGTAATAAAACCAAAAATAATTTTTTTTTTTAAATGAATATTATTTTTGAAATTTTATATAATTTTGCTTCATTTGAGTACCAGGTTGACATTTTTTTGAAAAACTTTTTATTTGACAGCAAGCACAGTTAGAAAACGCCTGCAGCAAGCTGGTTTGAATGGGAGAATTGCTGCAAAAAAACCTTTATTGCGACCTGATAACATCGCGAAAAAAAAAGTATTCGCGAAATTGCATAAAACCTGGACTGTCGTACAATGGAATAAAATGCTATGGAGTGATGAAAGTTCCTTTACTGTTATCTGTAGAGCTAAAAGAGCTTATGTGAGGAGAAGAGTTGGTGAATGATTTAGTCTTCTATGTGTTGGTGAATGATTTAGTCCTCTCATACAGTAAAACATGGAGGAGGCTCTCTTATGGTATGGGGTTGCATGTCAGGATCAGGTGTAGGTCATTTATATTGTTGTACAGGCACAATAAACCAGGATAATTATTTGGAAATATTAAAAACACAAATGAAACCATCAGCCAACAAACTATTTGGTAAAAACAAACTATTTTTCTTTCAACAGGACAATGCTCTTTGCCACAAAGCTAAGAAAGTATTGGAATATCTCAAACATGCTCGTACCAATGCTATTGAATGGCCTCCACAAAGTCCTGACCTGAACCCCATTGAAAATTTGTAGGGAAGCTCTTCAGAAAAGTACAGATAACCAAACCCAGCAATCTGGATGATTTGTGGCAACATTTGCAAGCTGCATGGCTAGCAATCCCTGTTGACACCATCCAAAAGCTGGTAGAGTCTATGCCAAGACTTGTACAGGCCGTGCTTGATGCGCATGAAGGGCATACAAAATACTAGTCTTTTAGTCAGAATTTCTTATGTTTTATTAGTGGCGCTTATTACTGACAATGCAGAGTCATTTTTATTTTAATGTGATGCTATTTTATTTATATTGTGCCAAAAATGAATAAAGTTCTCTTGTTTTTCAACTGTGGTCATGTTTTTCAACTGTGGTCATGACTTTATGCCTCTACTGTATATAGGTATATATATATATATATATATATATATATATATATATATATATATATACATATATATATATATATATATATATATATATATATATATATATATATATATATATATATATATATATATATATATATATATATATATATATATATATATTTATATATGCAATGTGAAGTTATATATATATTTTTAAAACATATATTTGTAATTTAAAAACTTATTACTATTATTATTCTACTATATATTATTGTTATACTATAATACTATTATTACTGTTCAGATTGTCTGTTTCAAATATATAGTTTTTTCTTTTAGTTTGTGCATCGGCTTCTCACGAATCATACACAGAGTCGATTGTCGATGCAATAATTACTGATTCGAGGAAGCGGGCAATATTTGCTTGTCTTAAAGTGCCTTAAATCCAACAGATATCATCGTTATAATATTACTTTGTTTGTAAATTGTTTTAAAAAATAAATTTAAAAATGACTTTCAAATAAATTTTTTATTTTTCTTGTTTTTTTAACTAACAGGTTCTTTTAAAAACAATTTAATAATAGTACCTATGGATTTGGGAATATTTTTTAAAAAATAACGTCTTTTAAAGGTTTAAAGTACGTTTTTTTATGGTTTAATTTAGGTTATTTAAAAACGTTTTTTAAACGTTTTTTGTAGAACGTTTTTTAAACAACTTTTTTAAAACGTTTTTTAAACGCTTTTTTAAAAACGTTTTTTAGGTATTGCCATTCAGAACGTTTACAAAACGTTTTTTTCTTTGTTAAAAAAACGTTTTAAAAACGTTCATGTGCTTACTGGGAAATGGAGTTAATATAATATTGCAATAAGAATATTTCAAATATTATTTGTGGTCTTTAATTGAAGCATTCAAAAGTTTCAATTAGTTAAAAAAATCTTGCTTTGAATTTATCTTTCAGTGAGAGTTTTTTGAAATAAATGAAAATTTCAAAACTTGTTACCTAATAATTACTGCTGCTACCATAACTCGATATATTAGATTAGACAGCAGAAAGTCATAGCATACGGTTTATGTTGAACATCTTAATCATTATAATCTCTAGCTGTTGGTAGTACTTATGAATTTTAATACTGCATGTATAAATGTTGAATAGTATTTTACTAAAAAAGTAAATTTAGCTATTTTTAATAAATTTCTTTTAGAGAAAATTTTAATCATTTTAATCCTTAACTGCTTTTGTAAACTTTTGATGGAAGTTCGCTGGAAATCTAAAAGGTCACAGGAAGTTCACTGGAATCCTAAGAAAAACTCAAATGATCTAAAACTTTGCTGGAAGCTTACAGAGTCTCATGCAAAATACTTTGCAAGATAAATACTTTTACTTTTTAATGTAAACGACGTGTTTATTTGCTATTATATAAATATACTGAACTTTAATAATATTAAAAATTATAACTTTTGGAATTTTTAGTTCGGGTGCATTAGTTTGAACGTCCATACCGGTCAAATTCACATGCAGTAATTGTAAACTGTTTGTTGTAATTATGAATTTTAATATTAAGTATTTGACTAAATAAGCATATTAAGCTATTTTTAATTAATTTTGTTTGGAGAAAATTAAATAACACGACTTACAATTTAATCAAATATTTAATGGTAATATAATGTAGAATATAGGATTTAAGTAGTTATTTTTCACTTTGTTTTAAAAGTCAATGTCTTTAAGTGGACTTCGATTCCATTAACTGACTGAATCAAAATAGTAGATGTAGCAGTGAAACATTCATAACAAAATTGTATAAATTACATAATAAATCACTTATGTAACATTTATAATGGAAATTGCGATCGAATATTACATTAATAAGTACTGTTTTGAGGTCTAGCGAAAATTAAGCAAAGAATTAACTCAAACTGCCGTAATTTCTTAACCGGTAAAAATTTCGAATAAAAATTTATTCAGAATTTTGTGTGGCCATATGCTACATTTGAACCAATTTTTATCAAATTATACGTAGTTCTACAGGTTTTATTGTCACAATTAAAAGCCAAATTTTCACTTAACTTGAACAAAAAATTAAAAGATTTTCAAATTTGTATCCTATGATACCTTCATGTAAACGCTATCACTCAGTGCTGGTTCAAGAGGGGGAGCTATAGTCCCGGGCCCCACAAATTTAGAAGCTACAAAATATTTTAGAGGACCTTTTTATTGTTTTAGTCATTTTTACGCTCTGGCCCATTAAAAGGCTTCCGAAACCAAAAATAACCCCGGGCCCCAAGAAGTCTTAATCCGCCACTGAGTTCCGCCCAAAACCTTTTGACACTTTTTACACTTAAATTGGTTTGCAGCTAATATCATCGGATTTGTTGCTTGGTTTATTTGCTGTTGTCCATTACAGCTAAACTTATGTTGATTTTTAGCTTGCTTTGCTTCTTTTTTGCTCTCAGCATATTTTAACCTTTCAAGTATTTCAGGTTTGTTGAGACACTCCTCTTCGAATCTTGACACATCTACATTTTTTCTTTTTTTTGTGTCAAAATGTTGGATACAAAACAATTGTTGCAAAGCTGCTGTTAGTGATTGGGCTGGTTGCAGTTGTTTTGTAACCTCTTTTTGAATTTCCTATTGAATAGCCTTTTGAAATTTATAATATTGAAGGTTGTTTACAGACAAGGTGACCGCAACAAGAGAGTAACTAGCGTATTTCGTTCATTTATTAGAACCATTTTATAAAAGCAGTAAATTCAGTTAGAAAAATTCATTCATTGAAATTTAAACAAAATATTAAAAGTTGTAGATTTATTATTAAAATAAAATGAGCCGCTTTTAAGAAATAAGCTATTGCTTCGTAATTGTTTATTTATTAGCGTCTTTCATATAACCCTACAACACTTCGTTTCCGTTTTGAACTCATAACTTTTTTTCCTAAAGAGCAAATTTAATTTTGAAAAAAGATTCTTGAACAGCGTAAAAAGTTGTACCAATATACATTTTAAGTTCAATGATACCGAACTTAATTTCCGAGAGTTTTAAGTTCCTTTTTCAAACAAATAAAAAAAATCTTATTACACATTTAAAAACTTATAAATTTAATACAAAATTTTTTTTATTAAAATAAAATTTTATACAATCTTACTCAGAAAAATATTCTCTACAATATAATTAAAAAATATTTGCAAAATAATTATTCAATAGTTAATTAAGATCGAAAGAAAGAACATAGTCATAACTATTTCATTCTACCCGCAATTTCATTTTACCCTGTTTTGCTCTATGTTTAGCGAAATTGTTATTTTTTAATTTTTTGTCGTGCATTTTTTAAAAAAATGTAAGAAAAAATATTTTTGGGTCAGCGGCTCACCTCGTGTCTTTTTTTAGAAGCGAGGTGATCCGCTAATAGACATTTCTCTAATTCGATGCGCAACTAATTTCTCAGCTTGAAAAAGAGGACAGTAAGGACAAAAATGTAAACAAAGTGCTGCAAAATAAAAAAAG